TTGCATTCTTCTTTTTTTTTTTCTTATGATCTTTGGTTGTTTGAAAATGATATATATATATATATATATATATATATATATATATATATATAAAACAAAAATTATTGGAATATGCTTACAAGAAAATACTATTTCAATTTTTCTACTTCAGAATTTCACATTTAAATCAATGTTACTTGCTGTTTCTTTGTAATTGTTGTTGAAATGTACTACTTTTCTGAGTGAAAATTCTCTCTGCCTATTTTATTTTATATTTTTCAATGTAATAGTTGTAGTCTATTAGCAAAACACAAATACAACTTTCCTGGTTGGGAATCACTGAACTAAATTAATTGCCATTTAGCAGCTGCTTTTTATTCAGAGCAGCTTCCTGTGATTGAAGGGACATCCCTTTCGGAGCAACCTGAGGCTAAGTGCCTATCTTAAGCATGCTTGATGAGAAGAAGAAAGATTGCGATGCCCCTTTCTTTGAGTGTATGCTACTGAACATGCAGTCTTTGTATTAGCAACCTGGATCTTCGGCCACTGGGTGACCACCAGCCCACCACGTGCCCTCCTCATCTTGCAGATGAATTCACACAAGCTAATGGACTTGTTTTTCCTCTTAATAAAGCTAAAAGCAGGGAAAGCCGGTCCATCTGACTCATTACATTGGCGTAATCCTTTATGGTTAATTTGGTTTTTCTCAGTGGCTTGTCAGGTCAATGAAAATTTATGATTTTGTAGAAAGAGGTAAGAGAGTAGTTTTTGTGACATATTCTTGACAGCGACAGTGTGCGTAGAGATGTCCTTGATGCTGAGTGAAATACTTAGTGGATGGATGAAAGTCAAAAGTATTAAAATGTTCAAAGGCGTCATTGTCCACACACTAGATGTGATGTATGAGCCTATCTATCTATCTACAAAAAAAAGCATTTTCACTAGTAATATTAGACAAATTAAGTATTCATATAATTGCTGAAAATAAATGAACGTTCATTTAACACATTTCTAATTTATTTAATTTATCTATTTATAGAAATTAATATCCAAAATCAAACTTGATTGAGGGCTGTTTTGTATATTGTAAATTTTAGGACAAGTAGTTTGGAATGTATATTTGTAATTCATTTAATTCAGATGCTTAAAATTCACTGGGAAAAAAAGTACAAAAAGAATATTGCCTACTGAAACTTGGCTGTTGTTAGATTTTGGAACTGACACAACTAACACTATAATCAGCCAAGTGGGCACAGTTTTCACCCAATGCTAATAATATGAAAATGGGCAATTAATCACCCTGGCTGATATATCGGTCTTACACTAATCATGTTTTATATTTTTGTATAAAAATTGCACATGCATCAAACTATAAATTGCTTCTTTTTTGTTTTCAGGACATGGAACGAAGGGTGTGTTTGAGCTTCTGGCAGGCTGGAGAAGAACCAGAGAGAGTTTGCCCTTCAAGGAGAGAGTGGCAGATGCGTTCGCTGACGTGATGGTGTGCTACACCATGACTAGCTCACTCTATATTATCACCTTCGGCATGGGTGCCAGCCCTTTCACCAACATCGAATCCGTGAAGGTCTTCTGCCAGAGCATGTGTGTAGCAATCCTGGTGAACTACTTCTACGTATTTTCATTCTACGGCTCCTGTCTGGTGTTTGCCGGGCAGCTGGAGCAAAACCGCTATCACAGCGTCTTCTGCTGCAAGATCCCCTCAGTGGAGTATCTGGACCGCCAGCCCACTTGGTTTAAGACCATGATGAGTGATGGCCACGACTTGTCTACGCACCACGACAGCGCACCGTACCAGAACCACTTCATTCAGCACTTCCTGAGGGAGCATTACACAGAATGGATTACCAACACCTACGTCAAACCTTTTGTGGTTATCCTCTACCTGATTTACGCCTCCTTTTCGTTCATGGGATGTTTACAAATCAGCGATGGCTCCAACATAATTAATCTGCTAGCTAGTAATTCACCCAGTGTGTCGTTCGCCCTGACCCAACAGAAATACTTTAGCAACTACAGTCCGGTGATTGGGTTTTACATCTACGAACCCATTGAGTATTGGAACTCCACAGTACAGGAGCACCTCAAGACGCTGGGCCAGGGCTTTAATAAGATTTCATGGATCGATAATTACTTTCACTATCTGAGGGTCGTGAATGTCAGCGCCTCAACCAAAAGTGATTTCATTAACATCCTCAAGACTTCTTTTCTGAGGAGCCCAGAATATCAACACTTTGTGGACGACATCATTTTCTCCAAAAATGGAGACGAGTACGACATCATCGCATCCAAGATGTACTTGGTGGCCAGGACGACTGAGAAGACCAGGGAAGAGGTCGTGGAGCTGCTGGAGAGGCTTCGACCTCTCTCCCTCATAAACAGCATCAAGTTCATCGTTTTCAACCCAACGTTCGTGTTCATGGACCGCTACAGTTCCTCCATTATCTCCCCCATCTTAACATCGGGTTTCAGCGTGCTCACTATTCTCATCCTCACCTTCTTCCTGGTCATAAATCCTCTGGGGAACTTCTGGTTGATTTTGACTGTCACCTCTGTGGAACTGGGTGTCTTGGGTCTCATGACGCTCTGGAATGTAGACATGGACAGCATCTCTATCCTGTGCCTTATTTATACTCTCAATTTTGCCATGGATCACTGTGCCCCCCACCTCTACACGTTCGTACTGGCCACTGAGCACACACGGACTCAGTGCATCAAGATCTCTTTAGAGGAGCATGGGGCCGCTATTTTGCAGAACACCTCGTGTTTTGTGATTGGGATAATGCCTCTTCTCTTTGTGCCTTCTAACCTGACCTACACACTGTTCAAGTGCTCCCTTCTCACAGCCGGCTGCACAGTGCTGCACTGTTTCGTCATCCTTCCGGTGTTTTTGACATTCTTCCCGCCCTCTAAGAAGCGGCACAAGAAAAAGAAACGGGCAAAACGGAAAGAGCGGGAAAGAGAGAGGGAGCGGGAGAGGGAGAGAGAGGAAATCGAGTGCATTGAAGTCAGGGAAAACCCGGACCACGTAACCAATGTTTGATTGAAAGATGTGTGTGAACATAATTGGTAAGATATCAGCTCCTGTCCACTAGGGGCGACGTCAGACAGCACTTCACAGGTCCAGAGGTGGCCAAGTCTGGCACTCTTGCCCCTGGGGTGACCCTCGCGACCCCAGCAATCAACAACAGTGCTGTCCAGAGTTAAAAACCCCTTCTCACTCATTTATTGTGTACACTTCGTCCAGAACAGTGTATAACATCTGCAGCTGCTAGATTACATTAGCCGTTAACATGAAAGGTTTGCGCAAGAAGGTTGTCTGTATACATGAACTAATACAAAAGACCTAAACAGAAGGCCTTCAAAAATGTTAGCATGAATCTATAAGCAGGTGGTTTCCTGCTTATTTTAGATCTCTAGGGGTATTCCCAAGGGTATTCATATATGTTTTGCAAGAGCAGATATCACAATAAGTACATTTGCTCTTATTTAGCACCAACACGATTCTTTTTGGTCACTCCGTGTTTTTCTAACAGTTATGCACCTCACGTTCCTCCAGCCTTGTGCTTACATAATTAATCAAGACCAACTCTGTTTAAAAATAACTATGTGAAAAATAGTAGCGAACGGAAGTAGCAGTTTCCAGCGTCCATCAAATTATGCAGCACTCTCCTACAAGCAACACTTGGCATGCATTTATCACAAACGTCCTGTAGCAAATTTAATAGTGTGTTTGTGGTTTCTCTGGTAGCAGTTATTTAGACGTATTCACTGAGACTCCCCCCGAGAGGTCCCACCTTATACCTGGAAAATATCCTCAGAGCAAAGCATTAATGGTCAATAGTATGATTTATTAAGGATTGTAAAAGGTGTTGTTCTCCTTTAAAAGTTCAGTGAAAGTACATTTGTCAAATTTGACATTTAGCACATATTCAGACTGTAATTTGTTTTACTCTTCCGGGTAAATAAACCGTGTCAGAAGGTGTTCTGTGTGGAGACCACCGACATGAATCACTCAAATGTTTTGCATATAATGTTAAACTGCATATGCCATTTAAAAAAGGTTTTCCAAAACACCCAGGTGACTCATTCATGAGAAAAGAGACTTGTAGCATGTTTTATGTCACAAATACGTACACTCTCAGAAAAAAGGTACAAAAGTTGTCACTGGGGCAGTACCTTTTCAAAAGGCACACCTTTGTACCTAAAGAGTTTAAGAGTTAAAAAGTAGTTCACTCAAAAAATGCAAATTCTGCCATCATTTACTCACCCTCATGTCATTCCAAACATATAACTTTCTTTCTTCTGCAGAACACATAAGAAGATATTACAAAGATGGTTTTTGTCCATACAATGGGGTCCAAAACAACACCAAATATGTTTGGAATGAAATGAGGTTGAGTAAAAGATGACAGAATGTTCATTGTTGGGTGAACTACCCTTTTAATGTAAAAGTATCTGTAATGGACTGTGTAGATGGAGGTACAAATCAGCAGATGTTTGCTTTTTGTCAGTCTTATTCCCCCCACGCCTGCAACCCGGAAGCCCTTTGGTTAATGTTCCAATAATCACAAATTAACAATATTTAGCATAAATATTTAATCAACCTCTGATCGTCCTAATCAACAGTGTAAAGGTGTAATCAAAGTAATTATATCCTTATCTCATGCTACAACAAACTGTTCTCGTTCTTACTATGTTTCCATTGGTTCAGATGTAGAATCGATTTGATTCTAGGTCAGTCATTGCAATGTATGCCTCAACATAGACTGCCTGCCAAAAAAGTGGAATTTAACCCAAAAAAACTGCTAGCTTTTGTCCTGCTGTGTATATTGTACACATTTCATAATGATTGAAATGTGCAAAACGCATGTGGTTGCCAGAGCCTTACTGATCCAGTCAAACAGCTGGGTTCATTGTAGAGTCATTCCAAAGGCAGAAGTCCTTTCACTGGGGAAGGTTTCGTTGACTAGAGTTTACTTGAGAGGTTGAGACACAAGGACCAAAGGTTTGCTATAGAAAAGTCCATTAGAAACGATAAAACACTTCATGTACAGTGATGATCTTATGTTGTCATTGACTGTTGTTTAAATGTCACAGGTATTGGGCACCTCAAGATAATGGCCATCGTGTTTAGATGCAACATTCCAAAACCAGTAGGTTTCATTAATATTAGTCAATGAAGCTTTTATGTGCTTAGTGTCTAATATCGATGGCATCCCCGTATTTTGTAAGAGCTCTATAATTTGTGTTGGAAGAGGGCATGAACATTAAATATACGAAGACAAGAGATGCATAATGAGAATGATGAAAAATCATATACTTCCCAAAATGACTGTGTATGCATGTATTGTATGTATGCATGTATTTGGTTAGTGTGTGTATTTTTTCGTGACTTTTTGAGAGCTGTAGTTGCTGGAGTGGACACTTTGTTTTAATGCATACTTGATACCATTTCAGAAATTTTTTATTTACTTTTTTCTGGTGTGCTTTAAGCCAGTAGGAAAAATTATGAATTGTAAAATAAATGTATAGAATTTTCTAATTTTTTTTAAAGAAACGAGAGGTGGAAACATTTTTTTAAGATTAAGGTCGTGTTATTATAAAAAGCAATAAAAAACAAAACAAAAAAAGGAATAAAATTAATTCTAAACTCAGTAGGCCAGTAATAACGTATGGAATGTTAATCGCATCCTCACCAGTCAGTTCTTACCACGTCTTTTGTTGTTACTTATTATATTTAGTAGCCTACATGAAAACCACTGTGTAATTTTGCAGAAGACAACATCTCTCCGGCATAATCCATTTCTTTATAGGTGGCTAAAACTGAATCTTAATTAGAAATCGAATTATAATGCAATGTGTAGTCATAGGTATAGAGAGTTTGTAAGAAATTGGCTAAATATATTGATAAAGCTATTAAAATGCCAAATAACTATATTGACAATTCAGGACACTTTATTAAGTTCTAATTATGTAACCCAACTGTGTATATTCGTCTACTAAACTGCTGATCATATCTTTAGAGTTAAGGCTATATAGATGAAAATCTGCATACTGTTCTTTTTGTTGTGATGCATTTTCTTGGATCAGACCATAAATCACTTAGTCGACATTCTTATTATCTGCTTTATTTAACTTCAAAGTGGCCCACAAATCAAAGTCAACACAAAGTCACCACCTTTTCAGTGAAACTGCAGACTTTAGGCACGCAGCTACGTATTCTGAGGTCCATAAATCAAATATGCACTTTTGGGATCAAATCATTTAGACAACAAGCATGTCATATTAGATTTCATAAGCTAAGACTGTGAGTCATTGCTAAACAAATGAGTCGTTTTCATTACAGGGGATTCATTTTGCTGTACCCCATTTTCTGCAAATGCAACGTCAGAGGTCATACAACAAACAGATAGTTTTACTGTTTTACCACTCTGTGATATTTAAAAGCTCATTTTATTCCAAGATTTTCAGGTCAACTTCTGATTATTTAATAAGTAGATGTAGAAGGTCAAAAACAGCACATTTGAACATTTAATTTAAAGGGGGGGTCATATGATGTTGCCAAAAAGAAAATTATTTTGTGTATTTGGTGTAATGAAATGTGTTTAAGGTTAAAAAAAACATTATTTTCCACATACTGTACATTATTGTTTCTCCTCTATGCCTCGCCTTTCTGAAACGCGTCGATTTTTACAAAGCTCATCGGTCTGAAAAACGAGGTGTGCTCTGATTGGCCAGCTATCCAGTGCGTTGTGATTGGCCGAATACCTCAAGCGTGTGACGGAAATGTTACACCCCTTGCCATACTGTGATGCCGTGTCCTGGAGTGATGAGACAAAACCAATAAAACCCATTACAAACGAGGCATTTGTTGCATCCAGTGGGGACATTATTACGGATTATAATGACTTATACTGTCTTTTTACGCGTTGCATTGCATTGGGCTGCGTAAACATAAAACCATGTCTGCATTTGTGATCGGAGAAATGACAAACAACAAGCGCTACTATACACTGCTCAAAACAAATCATCAGTGGCAAATTCTTTAAATATGAAAATGTACTTACAGTCTGTGAGTCAGAACAGCC